GTACAAAAATTCAAATTGTGTCAGATTCTCTGTGCTACGCTGCCAGTATGTTTAATTTTGACTTGGAGGCAAGGTGTATTAAACAAGGTGTGATTGACAACTCAGTGCGGCTCTCTTTTAAGGTACAATAATGTCAAAAAGTATAAACAAACGAATTAACCCTTAGTGATGCATGTATCTTGTCAGCACTGATACCCAATTTGATTATAGTTTTGTTTTACTTACATTAATCGGAATATATACATTTTGTCAATTAAATAAAACACATTTTTGTGTTTGTTTTTAATTGCCCAAGTTTTATGCTTTTGTGCGTTTGTTTTTATATTTACATTTTTTATCCTAAACATTATTCGACACTTATAAAAGTATGATTTTACATATGTTTCCAATTTTATATGAGAGCTTAACTCTAACAATTTTGAAATAAAGTTTTTTTTTCATGCGAAATAGTTTGGGTATAAACGAGCTCGTTTGAAAGTGCTTGACTCGGACGGACAACAAATGAAATCACTTTCTTTCAAGTGGTTTTCACAAACGCGAGATGAGTCACGTAGTACAACACCACATCGCTGTCGTCTTAACTCGCAACCAGGTGGTTTAAAACATCGCTCTATTTTCGTGTCCTGACTTCTATTGCATACAGCGCACTGTTCAAAAGTTTTGCTCCGTTTCATCTTGGTTTCCTTACATTAAATATTTAAGCAAAGTCGAACGTACATATTTACTTATTACCAAACTTTAAATGTGCTTACTTGCTCTCTTCGGCGGCTTATCTCTTAACAATTTCACGTTTATTAACCCTTAGCCACCTAACGTCTTTTTTAGACACTCTACCACCTAACGTCGGTCAAGGTGACCCCTTACTTAATTTTAGTGTTTAAAGTATAAATATAATAATAAAACACGCAAACCGCACATAACTCTTTTGTACCTTTTATTTAATTAATATTAACAAAAAATTAACTTAAAAGAAGTTATTCATTGTTATACGAATTTTGTAAGAAAACTTAGATACTTTTATAAAATGAGATCTAATTAGGAAAAAATATTCGAACTTAAAATTTTTTTCTTTTTTCTATAACTTAAAAACATGGACTTCAATAATAAATTGTTTTTGGCGCGATTAAATCGCAATTAAAATAAAATTGCAACCTGCCAACAATCACAAAGCAAAAATGTTTTACCTCTAGTTTTTGAATTGGTACACGTGTTGACTGCCTGATTGCATAAAACGAACTGACGAGAGAAAAGAAAAAGTACACAGACGGACAACTGCGGACAACGGTAGAGTCACTGTGACCGGCGTTAGGTGGCTAAGGGTTAAGAAAATTTGTTGCTTGAAAAATTTTTGTGTATTTTTTTTTTAACAAATTCAAATTTGAAAAAAAAAATATTTTCAAATGGGTTAACAATTCATTTCAATTTGACATTATAGCCTGTTTCTTATGAGAGCAATGTCAAAATTAATCACACTTTGTTGAATACATTTTGCTTGGAGGTATGTTTATTGAACAAAGAGCAATCAGCTGTTTGTTTCTGGTCCTCTTTTACAGCTGATATTTCATCAGGGATGGAAAATTGAATTATAAAATTGTACCTAATTTGCGGAAAACTTTACCTAAAAGTAGGTTGATGTACCTAAAAAGTAAATATGTACTCCTACATAGAGAAAGTAGGAGGATAACGATTCCCATCGATACCATATCAACTCCTGCACTCACATTAAACAAATTTTGGCTATCAAAAAGTCTCTTTGAGCAGCGCGAGACGAAACTATGTTGTAGAAAATATGAATCACTTTCCTCCCTGTTCTTCGATCTGACGTTTAACAAGTAATTTTTAGCAAAAAAAAACCGACTTCAACTCTCATATAAAAAATATATATATATATATATCTCATGATCCGCTGATCGGATCTTAACCAGATTAGTATGGGACCACCTCTGAGACACTACCTTTCCGATNAAAAAAAAAAAAAAAAAAAAAAAAAAAAAAAAAAATATTCCGACGAACTGATAACCTCCTCCTTTTTTGGAAGTCGGTTAAAAACAAATATAACGAGGGGCGTATTAATCTATGTTTATATATTCCAATTCGGCAAAAGATATGTTTAATATACAACTTGCCTAATCCTACATACGTATGTATGTATGTATAACAATTTATCCAAGAAACCCCAGAACTCCACAGGCGAACACCTACTACGTTTATTCGTAAGCTATTTGCTAATACCTAGCTCACTGTTTATACGATGGTGAAAAATTCTGTTTTAATATTGCCTGATTATAAAAAGGCAATAATATGACCATCGAAAAAGAAAATAAAGTTAAAAATGGCAACGCCTTCCTATAATTCCTATAAAGAATTGCTCTCAGTCCTATCGGAAAGTGACGCATAGACGATTTATGGAAAATTTTGTTAGCTTTCATTTGTCGTATTCCATTTTCAGTTTGTTAAATTGGTTCTTGAGAGAATAAATTCTCTCATTGTTTCTGGAGAACAAAAACCAAATTAAAATTTGTGATCCAGTGATATTTATCGCAAACATGTCGGAGCTGTAATAATAAGATTCTCTCAAATAATTTGAGTTTAACTTTTTAAACAGGTTGCCACCCTCTTCAAGCACCTCAAAAATATTTTAATGGTTGTGTTTCTTAAATTTCTTTCTATTCACGCTTACTGTATAGTATTTAATGCATAAGACTTCTGTATAATCAATTATATAAATAGGCAATCATGTTTCCTTTACACCCCTTTTATGGCTAAACTGTACTTCTAAGGTATAAACAATTGTATATCATTAGAAAGGTATTTTGATGCTGATGTGCAGGCAATTTTTAAAATTTCAAATTAGTTTAAAATAGAGCGAAAAAATCAATTCAAAAGTCACACCAATACCAATGCCATACATGTACATGGTTGGGGCGGAAATGCCTCCTAAATGTATGCTTTAATATTGATAGTGAATTAAAGAAACGTGCTAAGCAGCAGTTTAGGAATAAGATGTATGTATGTATGTACATGAATAGATTAGCCTCAAACAAGGATGAGATAATTTTGAGTATGGAGAAGAAGAAAGGGATAAATACAGAAATTAAAATAAAAGTAAAGAA